TTCTTAATTTCTAAATATTTCTAAGAGTTGGCGCTTTACTAGTTCCACTTTTTATATATTTTTTACAGTTTTATGCTTTTATTGTTTTTGGACTTGAATGGAATACACAACCTTATGTACTTTATGTGATTTCGCTTTCTTTGGTTACTTTGCATGTCCGAATAACTTTTACAATGGATTCAGAATGAGGGCCCAAAGAAAATGAATTACATAACCACGATTTCTTTTTGACGAAGAAAGCAATACAATAATCTCCACTAAATAATTTTAGTGTTATTTTTACGATCTGATAGTCCAGAAGGATTGCGAAGCTGTTTCCAAGGTAACGTTGTAAAACTATTTTCCAAAACACTTTTTACTTATTTTTAATAGTTCATTTTATGTAGTGACTTATACCTCAAAGCTTGGAATTTTAATAGGAGTATTCCTCTTTCATTCTTATGATTTTCTAATAATTGAGTGCTGTTCTTAACTTATAAATATAATAAAGTAACTAATTATATCTAAAAAACTAACTTATTTAAAAAAGACGAAACACTCTCACTTAATTCTCATTGATAAGTCAATTAATCTGCGATTACTAACAATGGCTTCTTTTTCAGTACTTTGGATTCGGAATTTAAAGAAATATCCAAAGAATATAATAACCACTTTGGATTTGGAAGTTTTGCGCTCAAAGTTTTTTTTTTTTTAATTTTTTTTTTACAGATTTTAAATAATTTTTGCTACAGTAGTTCTATATAACTTTGGATACTGACTTAGAAAGTTACTTAAAAATACTTACTAAAGTTTTTTCTAATAATTGATAGCTTTAATTAAATTTCTTTTCCTTGGAGATGATATATAAATACCTTTTCTAATAATAAATTCTTGACTTGTTACTTAGCAACTATAGCGCAAGTTCAAGGCATTTTAAATTACTCATAATTATTTTTTATTAGACATTAAAAATGTATAAAGAATAGTAATAACTGAAGCAGAAACAAAATAAAAATGAAAAGAGATGAATCATAGCTGAAACCGCAAGATCATACATATGTAAGGTATATATATATATATATATATATATATATTAGTACCAGAGAGTACTTTTTAAATTTTAAATTTGCTAGAAAAACTGAAGATCAGTAAACGGGATATTAATGCATGCATGACCCCAGTAGATCAAGCAAAAACACCTTATTAACAAAATTGTTTTGCATTTCCAAATTAGAGATGGCACATATGTTAATTTTCTGCTATGAAAATTATTTTGTTTTTTTTAGATTGAAAATTCGAAAACAAAATCCGACCAAGAAGGGCTAAAGAAAGCTCCGGGGATTTTAGGACAAGACTAAGAAAATTTGACGAAACAAATAAACCTTGTAGACCTTGACTCTCAACCTGTGGAGAATTAAAAAAAATACTTTGAAAAGATATAGGAAAACATTCTTCAATTCAATAGGACACTACCCTAACTCAAGCATATTTTAAATTTGATTTGAGAATACTGTCCCAAAACAAATGCAACTTAATTTGTTCTTAATGTTCTTGGTTTTCGCTAGGATATTTAGTTGCGACCAGCCGAATTTATACCCTCATAGAATAAATGCTGAAAGCTTGCAAATCTTTCGTACGTACTACCTTAAAATGAGATATAATCGAATCCAAACAAAATGGAGAAGAATGAATACACTAGGGACTGAATCTAAAGTGTAATTCCTAATGAAAGTTGTAAAACGAAATAAGAATTTTTTGAACGCATTTTTCCTAAAATTGAATCATGTCATTATTAAATTACTTGGAGCAAATAAAGAATGAAACGCAGGGGGGAAAAAACGAAATGAGAATATATGTATAAATATTGAGCATCCGTACTAAATAAATCATAAGCTAAAGGTACGATATTATGCATTTCGGATTGTTAGTTTTTAATCAGATTTTCAGTGACAATCAGAAGTACGATTTTAGGGGTAATTTCCGAACAAATATACTGCGATAGATTTTTCGAAAGCTTTATTTGATTACTTGGAAAAAAAAGGCTTCCAGCTTGATTGCTCAACAGAAATAATGAAAACTGCAGTTTTATTAAATATTTCAAGTATTAAAATTTTTTACAAGATGAAATACATTTTCTTTATACCTATTGCTTTTAATAATGCACTAATTCCTTCAGATAGAATATATGTAGCCGCCCAACCGGTATAATGGTTAACGGCATTGTCTGCCGTGCCGAAGGGCCCAGGTTCGAATTCCGGAGAAGTCATGGATGTCTGTAAATGTATAGTGTCCTTACAGCATGGGGACACTCTAAATATGCGGCGAGCCGAAAGTCCTCTAGAGAGGTTGATGGTAGAGGAAGAGGAGTATTAGACCCTCGGACTCGCCTCCCTCCATCAAGATTTGGGCGTGGAACTAAGCTAAATTGCCCTGTCGCCTGTAAGGTGCTCAAGGCTGTTGCCAACGACAGGCGTACCTTGCGCTCCTTGCCAGGAGGAATTTCTTGGGCATGGGCTGACTTTAGGTCAGACAAGTCAGCATTAGTCAACAACAACAACCAGATTATACGTAATTAGATGAGAGGGATTCCTAGGATATGGAGCATTATCAGATTAAAAAATATAATTCATTTTTCTATTTTAGATCTAAAAATACTCATTCTCGTTCTTTTTCTAAAAGTAGTTTTTGTATCTTTCTCTAATTTTGTAATTCTTTTACTCTGCTTCAATGTATTTGCTTGTGAAACTTTCCCTATGTTTAAGTCCAAATACATTTTTTTTAAACTTGTAGTGGATGACACTTGATGTTAATACTGTTTCTACACATATAAAAGTCAATTTCTTCTTATTTATTCCTCTTTATCAGAACTAAAGATATGGTGTTTTTTATTAAATACATTATAAGACTTACAAATACTGACTGTTTATTAGGAAATCTCAGGTGCTGTAAAAATTTATTTTATAACAAATAATAAATAATATTGCATGACTGTGATAAATGGTATTGTAATATTTAACAAAAATAAGTGGCAACAGTAAGACAGAGTTCTAAAGATTTTTAAAGAGTACGGAATTAAAGAATTGTAGTTTTTTAGAGTTGGATAAAGCGGACGCAATGTCCCATTATGGAGCGAAAATTTTCCCCATATTTCTATGTATTGCCTGCTACTTATTCCAAATACATAAAATCTCTTCATATCACTAAATTTCTTTAGTTTTAAAACTGAATTTTGATGTTCTTTCAATCTTAGTTTTATTACACACACACACACACAAAAAAAAAAAAAAAAAAAATAGTGAAGTTGTGTAAGTCTAATGGCTAATCTAATATACTTTAAGTGCAGAGCCAGGAGTTTCTCTTTCAGCTTAAAACTGTATGCAGTTACGTTAACTTTCGTAACTGCATGCAGTTATGAAAAAGGTTTCTTCATTATGTCTAAAGTAATAAAATTTCTTCTTTGGAAGAATGAGTGTCTTTTTAGGGCAGGCATTTTTTATTTTGTACGTAATTTAATTTAGCTTACTTTGTGTGCCCTCAAGTCGCCATAATTATAATGTAAAAGACCAAATGTTAACTCAGTTATTAAATGAGAGTAAATTGCTCAGGAGAACACCTATTAGGAAAGCATTATCTTGTCACTTTATGTAGCTCATTTGCATTAACTCCCACTTTAATTTAATGGTTCCTCTATTACTCATTTCTCAAATCCATAATCATCAATGGTATTTAATTATAGTGCAAACAAAAACTCAGATTATGTAAGTGTAAAGTTCTTTAGTAAGTGTAGTACCCTCTAAAACACAAAGGGACCAAGTAGAGACTGTCTGTAAATTATACGTGTAATAAAGTTCATGCTATACTAATCAGAATTAATTTTCTTGTATTCTGCTTTCATTATGTATAATCTCGCATTATTCAAGAAAACTATCATTGGCTGTCTTCGCAATTTGAAATTTATCGCTTAGCAGTTTAAGTAACTCTAAAATGCAAAAATTTAAATTGCATACTGTTTTTAAATTCCCACAATTAGCTTACACTCTCCTTATATCTTGTTCGAATTTTCGATAGTTTATAAAATACTTTTTATTCATCCACTTAAGTTCAAATACATTTTTTATACTTGGAGTGGATGACACTTGATGTTAATGCACTTTTTACACATATTCAATTATTACTTATTTATTCCTCTTTATCAGAACTAAAGATATGCTGTTTTTACTATGTATATTATACAAATAATGACCGTTTATTAGGAATTCTCACGTGCTGTAAAAATTAATTTTATAACAAATAATGAATAATATTACCTGACTGTGAGAAATGGGATTGTAATATTTAACAAAAATAAGTGGCAGCAGTAAGACAGAGTTCTAAAGGTTTTTAAAGTGTACGGAATTAACGAAATGTAGTTTTATAGAATTGGATAAAGCGGATGTAATGTGCCATTATGTAGCGAAAGTTTTCCCCATATTTCTGTGTTAACGTGATAATAATATATGTTTAAAATATAAAACTTTCAAATGTTCCTTGCTCCCCAAACGGAGAATGCGCAAAGAAAGCGAAAAAAACTACAACACAACCGCAAGGGATGATTAGAGAAAGAAAAACATAAGCGCCAAGAAAAGCTTCCTACGAAAACGCTCCGCAGCAGGTCAAGCATATGTCGCCTTGAGTTGTGCGAAATCATTAGATGGAATATTAATTGAAGAACTGGACTGCTCAAAACTTACTTGAAAGGTTCCTTGCAATAATGAAGCTGTACAAGAAATGGAGGGAATGAAAAATTATAGACCACCATCAGCTTCATAAATTAGAAACGAAAAAATTTTAATAAAAAGTAACTGAAATAAAAATTTTTTTTGTTGAAATTAAAGTAGGAATTGGCTTTAATTTTTTATATATATTACTTATTATATAAGCACCTTTAACTGCAAATAAATTAGTTGAAGTATTAAGAATATGTGTCGTTAAAGTAAACTAAACGTATTTTTGATGTCGTAAAAACGTCTTTTGCTTTTCAGGAAATAGAAGTGTTTTCCTCAAATAATCCCCAAGGAATACTCATTCAACATTATTATCATCCAGAACTTCTTTGGCTGTTCGCTGACGATTGTTTATTTTCGTTCTCATCTTCATTTGACGCCCAAATATTCTTGGTAAGATTGTAATTTGGTTAATTAATCTTTTATTCATATGAGTTTTTGTGCTTCAAGTTTAATAATCTTTATGATCATTTCTATTACCTCAAATTCCTGTGCCTCTTAGAACCCCGTACATGATGTTACAGTTTTAAGCCAGTTACGAAGCAAACGGAATCTAAGTGATGCGTAGTTTCATAGTGAGGCACCTGCACGGAAATGTTGTAAAGTTTTCCTATTTTTACTTCCATGTGCGACGTAAAAAGGAAGCATTGTAATCGCGAAAAATTCCAGGTATTATATTTCAACGAAAATATTCAGTTTGACCGCTATAGAATGCAATTTAACGATGTTTTTGCGTGACATCTGTTCGTAAAGACAGAATAAAGAACTCTTTCCCCCCCAAAAAAAATTATAAAACTAATTTAAAATGAATTCTGAAGACAATTTTTCGTGGCGTCCGTGCGTACGTATCTCACATAACTCAAAAACGAGTAGCCTCAAAACGTTGAAAGTTTGCATATAGGACTGCTATAACATGAAGAAGTGCACCTCGTATTTTGATTGCAATCGGCCGCACCAAAAGTGTATACATATATGTATATATATCACTCTGTTACTCGGCTCGATGATCTCAGTTTCTTTATTCTTATATCCTTGTAAATTGTGCATTTTTTGCTTTAAAATGATAGAATTATTCTTATCTTCCGGTTAAAGTTTTTATGCCTTTATTAAATCTGCATGCAATATTTGTAGAATTATCAACAATTTTAAAGTTCTTTAAGTGCAGCTAAGCTTAATTTTTCTTTACGATTTCTTTAAATTACGATATTTATTTACATTTGAAACTTAGCAGAATATTGGATTTATTGCCAATCTAGAGAAACTAAGCTTCGCAACGATAAGGTAACGTTTTCGTTTATTATTGCGAATTAAATTATGCTTAATTCATTCTGAATTATCATTTAAGTTATTAGGTTGTTTTTGCGTACAAACTGCAATTTTAATTGTAAAAAAATATTTTAAATTGTTTTAACTGTACTTGGTTTTTATGTTTTTCTACATCTTTCAATTTTTTAATGAAAATATTTTGAATTTTTATGTGTTTTTGCCTTGCCGCGAAGTGGGACCTGAATTAATTAGCAGCGCATGAGCATTAGATAAGCGACGCTGAATCGTCTGCGAAAAACTGTTTCTTTTTTATTTGTTTAATTGCTTTTATATATCGTTTTAGATTTATTATAGTATTTGAATAGAACTTGCGGTAATTCTTCAGATGACATAATTTTTGGGCACTCTGAGTTAAAAAATGAGTGAGATCAAACGTTGTTAAGAGAACCTAGAGCCGAAGCGTCGCTATAAAATATAAATGTAGCGAATTTTAAAGAGTGCTTTCATTCTATTGTGGTTTATGCGCTATCGACGAAGTGGATTTAATTTTAAATTCGTTATCTGTTAATTCAATATGTTCAAATGAAATGCTGGAAAATTATGTACAATTTAATATTCCTTACAAGGAAGTCATGTGCTGTATACATCAGATTCTTTTACTATGCTTTTATACCTCCAGATTCCTGTTATCATTGGCAATGATATTAAAATGATAATCTTGTAAATTTTCTGTGGCACTTCTGCATCAGCTGCTATTGTTTTCGCATCAAAAGAAGAACAGCGCATTGTAAAAGCTAAAAAATGGAGTAAACAACAATGAAATCAAAAAGAAAAGAAAGAAGGTTAGAAAGACGTCCGATAAGCATAGCTAAAATAAATAACTTAAGCATAAAATGCTGGCTAGAGGCAAAGCGAAAGTTTTTCATAATATACATTTTCTTTCATATTAAAAATTTTTATTAACCAGTTTTTGTACCTTTATTTTTTCCTTCTTTCACTTCATTAAACAGAAGCCTCAGTGATTTTATTTTGATTCGCAGATTTTTAAGATGTCATTTCTTTTTGTTTTTTTAACATTAGGTATATCTTCATTATTTCTTGCATTTCTGCAAAGTTATGCTCTATACAGAAGCATAACTTTGAAAAGTTTGAAAATTTCTTTAAAAAAAGTCTGAAAGCTTTCAGATTTTATATTACACCCTAAGGGGCGTTTTCATAACGTTCTGTGTGTTACCTTTATTTATTAAATATCACGTTTTTTGCACTTAAACCACGTAAAATCCAATTCAACAGCAATATTATAATTTAAAAAAAAAAAAAAAAAAAAAAAAAAACAGCATATCTTTAGATTTTCCAATGCACAGTCTTTCGCGCTGGAGATAAAAAGATTTTTTCCCGTACTGTGCTGCCATTGCTGGCTTAGAAATCGTTGAGTTTATTAATAAAAAATTTGTTAAAATTTTACACAATTTGAAATAGATAATAAAACAAATTCAAGATTCAAAATTTTGGCTTCCAAGTGCTCATGTTCGATTGGAGGACTACGTTATTCAAAATTGGATGGCTTTAGGTACCGTCGTTTTTTCACAATGCGAGAAACATTAATGTATTCATGCAGATGCTTCATTATTTAGTTTCTTTAAATATAATACATGGGGATAATATTTGGTGGCAACAGTTTGAAACGTGATTCAACACAAAATGCCGTTTTGAGACTAATAGCCCTTTGGTGGGGGTCTAACGCCCATTTGGGCTAATAAAGAATTTGTCAATAAGACAACCATCATCCAAGCAGTAGTAGTTCGTTAATCTTCTGTTAAAAACACATTATTTTCTTTTAAACCTATTAAGGTATTTCTCCCGTCTTATTGGCGTGCCTTCGTGGTGTAGTGGTCTGCATGCTGAGCGCGAATTCCAGGGGACCGTGGTTCGATTCTCACGGAGGGCGTTGATCATTTTTCAATCTCTCTTGCTTCCAAAAAATCCGAAGTTCTCTACAGTGGCGCCCGAAATAAAAGGTGGTGAATGATGACTCTTCACCACCAGGATTTGGCGATTGGGTCCTCTAAAAACCCCAGTCGCCGTTTAAAAGAGGGAGTATATAAGGTATTTCTCCCGCCTCCTCGGCGTGCCTTCGTGGTGTAGTGGTCTGAATGCTGGACGCGTATTCCAGGGGTCCATGGTTCGATTCCCGGCGAGGGTGTTGCTAAGGTTTCATCTTGCCTACTTCCAAAATACATAATGTCTCTACAAAACCACCTGATCCTTTCGCAGTTATTACCTACACTAATCGCCTTTTGCTATCACAATATACTCTCCATTTTATAAGATTAGTTCAATCATATGTGAAAATAAAAAAAAAAAAAAATAAAAAGTTTTCCTATATACTACATATTTATCCTAATGCAAGTTATAAACAAATATTTCCAATGAAGAAATAGCTGTTCAGTACGAGACATAACCAAACTAATACTAGGGCTGGTAGACTCCGCGCAGAAAATCACTCCGACTGAAATGTTATAGGTAACTGCATTTCTTGATCAAGCTATATTACTTCTATAACTGAAAGAACAGCTTGTAAAAAGAAAAAAAAATACTGAGAAGGGGTTCCAAAAACTCTATTCGAAAAATTTGGCCCAGAAGTTAGCTGTTACTATTTGACATAAAAACCACTGTGTGGTGGTTTCCAAAGAAATTACGAGAATGGCTGAACTTTGGTATTGAAACTCATGTTTCCATCAATAATTTATCTCTTAAATTAATTTCTTGAATGCAGTTTCTACGTTCGAAGTTAATGTAGAACCATGTTTATAGAGTATATCTCCTCAGACCATTAACATATAGAAATTAGCATAAACGAATACCTCTAGAGACGCAGCTTGTACACTTCTGATAAGCATAATGAACTTTGAATTCATTCTTCTTCCAAAGGTATCTCAGTTGTCTCAATTTAATTGTCATATGCCATTTTGTCCTTGCTTTCAGATGGCCTGACACTTACAACCTAAGGCGTTCATCGGGAATGCTCAATGCCCATAAATCATACATCCGGCGTTGGACTGTGCCCAAGTTGCCCCATGGGATGTAACCGATTTTATACCCATGACAACGGAGAAATTCCATTTTAATTTTATCGAAGAACTCTCCGGAATACGAATTGTAGGGTCTTCCTCTCTCTCGTCATACTACCAAACCTCTCGAATGGATTTTAAGCTCAGCAGCATTTTAATTCCTCCTATGTGCACTAAGATTATACACGCAAGCTTTCTCAAACACTCGAACTCGGGCACAACGATATGGTAGCCGGTCAGGATGGCATATGCTAAACATCTTCCATCTTATATTTTCCAAGCGACTTGTCGCCCAACAGTGGATAATGGTTAGTAACTCTGACTGCCATACCGAAAGGCTCGGATTCGAATCCCAGAGAGGGCATAGATGCTTGTAAATGTACAGTGTCTGTGCGGCATGAGGGCACTCTAAATATGTGGCGAGCCGAAGGTCGTCTCGATAGCTCAGTGGTAGGAGATGAAAAGTAGGAGACCCTCGGAGCTGTCCCCCCCGGGTTGCTCTCTTTAAAAACTGGGAGGCGGAACTGAGCTAAGGTTGAGTTGTCTCCTATATGGTGCTCAAGACTTCTGCTAGCAAGAGGCACATTTGGCCCCTTGCCGCGATGAACGTCGCGATCTTTTGCTGACTATTGCCAGGCAAGTGAGATTGATAACTGTAACAACAACCACACGATTTCCAGCATAATCAATCTTCATAGTACAACCATTCTGCAAAACATAAGCTATGTAATTAAGACACAATAACACGCCGTATAAATACTAATTCAGAAGTCAAACAACAAAAATCAGCGTTATATTTACAAAATTTTCACAGAACTAGTTTCGATGGTTTTACCGAACCAACATCCTCAGCTGCAAAACCGCAAATGAACAAAATAGGAAATAATGATTAGCTAAGATAAGAAAGCCTGGACAAGAATAAGCAAGTGGCGCCATCTGTTGGTGAAACCAGAACTAAAACATAATTTTTTTAAAGGCCGAAGGCAAATTTGGATTGGAATTAGGATCGTTAACTAGAACAGAAAGATTTTTATGAATGTGAAATGCCTCTAGAAC